TTTGAAATGGTTTGTGTCTTGCTTTGTTAGTTTTATGTTTTTTTTCGTTTTTTTTCTTTCTTTTTTTTGTCTTTCTGTTTTGTTGTGTTTAAACGGTTGAAAATTAATAAATATTAATTTTTTTAAAAAAAAAATTGGGGGTTGAATATATGCTATATGGTAATTTATGGACCTAATAGGTATCTAAAGCCATTTCCACAAAAGAAAATATGTATTTTATCACATTGGTTTTATTTTATTTGTTTTTTATCTTATATTTTGGAAATGTACATCCAGGATTTTTTTCTTTAAACTTTTTTGGGAGCCCCAAGAGAGTGGGACCCTAAGCTATAGCTTGTTTAGCTTATATGTAAATCCGGCACTGGCCAACCCGTCTGCCTTAATGACTGCTTTTCAAATACCTCTTAATATGCCTCTCCACTTGCCTGATCATTTATTTATGCCCGCATGTGCCACTATATGAAGCTCATCAAAGATCATTACAGGCTCTTGTTTGTCTCGGTTCTGACCTTAAGAAACAAGGTCTTGTCTTGTTAACTGTCAGCACTTGAGAAATACTGCAGGTGCTCATTTAGCAATTCAAACTCTGATATGTTCCACACACACACACACAACTTTTTTCTTCCAGCAGAAAAGCCGAGTACACATATTAAAAATATTATCACTATCTTTATCCAAGTTGCATTTATTCTTTCCTGGGATTAAGGAATCACAGGCAGCCACTTGAGTTTTCGCAAAAGAAACGGAATCCAAATAGTTTGATACAAAACAGCACATTTTACCATACGTTGGTGACTCAGAGTACCTAGATTGGTGGTATCTTATCTCCAAACTAGAGAAGGTGCAGAAGAGATCAATGTAGTGGCCGCGTGGTAAACTGGGGCCATTGTTGCTGTTCAGTGGGCAGTAACCAACTAAGTCGCCCAGAGTGGCTGGGGAAACCCAGTCAGATGGGCGGGGTACAAATAATAAATTATTATTATTATTATTATTATTATTATTAGTCGAACACAGAACAGACCCCATTGAAATCAATAGACATAAGTACAATTGATTTCAGGGTTGTTGCTTTTTACTCTGACTAATGTCACCCAGTGTGCATCACAGTTGGTCCTTTGCTTCACCATCCAACTCAAATCCTTAGTGAACACATGAGGAGCTGTGTGCTTTCAACTCAAAGTTCAATATTGGCAGGCAAGGGCATGCTGCTGCAATGCCAATGCAAATTAGTCCTCAGGCACCAGCGATTCTTCCTCAGAGAGAGAGATAGGTCCCAGTCCATTGTTAGATGTGCATTTTCCACAGTAGGTGCCGATACCTTGACCCTTCTCCCACTGGATCTTTGATCACTTACGTAGGAAATGTGGAGAAAAGCGAAGAGATAGAAGACAGTTTACGGTATATGCATATACGCACATACCTTGCTGACTCACACTGACTTTCCTTCCCAAGCGCTATCACCATATATTCACACATAGGTGCCTCTCTAACCATAAGCATGCCTGTGCACAGACAACTTACCCATACCAGGTGGTCTTGAGAGAAGCCAGCTGAAACATGGACATCACTGGAGCAGTCGTATTGTGCCCAATGTACCCGAAAGATCATAAAGGCATAACGTGTTCCACTTTAAGCTATGTCCAAATCCTTTAGCATTTAATCTAATTTATATTACAGTGGTGTCTTTGCCCCATGTATTCAGTCTCATTACCAACGGCAACTGGCCATAATGGCTATGTTCCACCTCCACTGTCAGAGGCAATATGCTTCTGAGTTGCTGGAATTCACAGGTGGCGAGGTGTGTACTGGGTTAATATCCTGCTTGTGGGCTTCCCATGGCATCTGGTGGGCCACTATGAGAAGAGAACGATGGGCTAAATGAGTCCATCGTTCTCTTCTCACAGTGGCCATGCACAACTGGATCCAATGGCCAGATCCAGCTGTGCATGAAGGAAGCAGACTCTGCAGTAAACAATGGACTCCCCCCCTCCATCCACTAGCAATTACCTGCAGCAGCATCCCCATATTCATAGTCAAACAAAAGCAGTGTCTGTGTACACGAATGCATGATGTTTACACATCGAGCTCTGCAAAAACCCCAAGACAGCTAAAACAGCTTTTCTAAACTTGACGCAGTGGACACCTATACAATGCCAATTTCATCAAACGTATCTGTCAAGGCTGCCTCAAGTCTCAGCTCACAAAAGACCAACGCCTATGTCTTCTTATATACAAAGGTGTTTATTGCAGTTCATTGTTTGCTTGACATCCTAGGCGCGCAGCCTTACGTCTCTTACGCTTAGACCGCTGAAGTCCCCTCTGAATCCGTCCCTCCCCGCACCAATTTAAGATGCTTGTGCTGCTCCACCTCTTTCTCTCTTTCCTTTCCGCAGGGTCCTTCTGCCCGCTGGGGTTTCGCTCCTCCTGGATTCCTCTGACGCGGAATCAGACTGCTCTTCCCCTCCTGCGGGCTTTGGGACCTGGCCCCTCCTCCGGGCTCCCTGTACTTCCGCGCGCCTCTACATTTGAAACAGGCGCGCGCGCCAAACCTCTAACTTTCCTTTTGACAGTTACACTACTCCCTTCACTGCTCCCCTCCCCTTCCGGGAGGGCGGCTTGCTCTGACCTCCCTCCTTTCTCTGCTGCCGGAGCTGCTTCCTCTGACACACTGGAAACTCCACCCCCTTCGCTGCACTCTGGTGGGGAGGCTGGTCCTGACGCCCAGCTGCCACTTTGGGATCCTCCGCTGGCCCCCTGCTCCTGACACGTCCCCCCTGGGGCTCCCTGGCCTTGACCACCGGCGCCCCTTCTGGGAATCCTCTGATTCGCTGGAAAGACTCATGGAATCTCTTGAGTCATTGTCATCCTCTTCCTCGCTGGCTTGGAATTCATCCCCATCGCTCTCCATCTCCTGCCTACCCTGTGCCTCTCTCCCTGAACCCCTGACAGTATCATAGATAATAAACCATGTGAAAACAACAATGACAACACCCAAAGTAAGCATAAGCAGAACACCAATTTGAGAACAGTTAGCTCAGATATACCTATTTGCTGGTTCTCTGTCAGACCGCCCTCTATCACTACTCCTCCAAAAGCCTTGCAAGTTGTACTCGTGGATGGCAGATGGAAGGTCCACAGGCCCTTTCTGGTGGGCCTTGATTTGGAAGGTGCCATGTGGGAGAAAGTACTAAAGTTACTCTGGGACCGCAAGACGCTAATACTTTGGTTTTGTATGCACCTTAAAGGACACAGAGCTTATACACAGAGCCCTACTTATGCCCCTACCTCTTTGTGCTTGTAGCACAGATCTTGTTCCCTGAAAAGCAACTTCCCTTCCACTTTTACTATTTCCTACCCATCCACTCATCCAGTTTTTGCAGGCTTATTTCCTGCACAAGACATTCATTTACCTAACTAAAGACACATTTAAATTGATCTTACAACTGTTTCCCCCGCCGGAGTGCATTTCACAAATATTATGTGTGTGGTTGCTGAACTAAAAATAACGCCCCCTCACCCAGCCCTTTTTGAGCTGATATATTACCACTTTTGTTTTTCAGTCTCTTGACACATTCATATTTATGGAGATTAGTTCCCTTGGCTAGGCTTTCCTGTGGAGAATGACAAGAAAATCCTTGTGCTGTGTTGAGACAGGGCGGGCGGGAGGGTGGGGAGAGACCTAACAGGATAAACTCTGCTGTTGTCAAATCACAAGATCCTGGAGAAAGAGGATTATTAAAATAGAACACAATGTGAACTTGGACAAATAAACTGCAGGCTTAGTGACACATTGAGATGAAAAATGATAGCATGATATGACAGCCACCATCTTGGCTGAGGCACCAGAGATCAAAACTGAGACAACAAGAAGTAAAAACTCATGTCATTACAATGTGAGGTAAATTAAGAACTGAAAAGACACCCTGACTTCGTAACCTCTGCAATGACTGCTCATATCTACTGGGAACATGGCAGCCCGATAGAGGGCAGGCAACCTACCCTTTTACTTAATGTACAACAGCAACTGCAAGCCCTCTGTCAGTCGGACTGTTATAAACAGAAGCCATTAATGGATTAATTTCTGTCATTAATCAATTGACGGCATCTTAAAAGGTTGAAAACAGAGCTCTAATCGCCACCTGGGTGCTTTGCTTCAGCTTTCGCCTCTTTTCTCCTCCTGTAGTCTCCCCCAGCATTCAGTCTTGCTGAAGGGGCTGCTAGAAATGGGGGAGAAGGCAAGAATGGGGAAATTAAGTCACTGGCAGAATGCGTTCCCTGCCTGGTGACTTCATATAAATCACAAGTTCACATTGGTAGTGGTAATAATGATGATTATTGTCATGACTTCTTGACAGAACTAGTGAGCGGGGAAGAAGGAATGCAGTAAGAGTGTGGAGCTAGGGAGCCAGGGAGAAACTGAGTAATGCAGAGTGTTGAGGTTGACACCACGGAGGAGCAAAGCAGTCTGACAGAATATGTCACCGCCCAGATAGTGCCAGACATCCCAGCAGAGGAGGGAGAGCCAACTGAACCAGGCCCTGCCCCATCTCCTACTAGTTTGGTGTCCACAGCAACCAGGGAAATGCCTGAGCCTGGAATGGATAGTGAACTGCTTGGGCAGACCCTACCCACCTCATCTCCAAGGGTGCATGGTCAGACATATTGTCGCAAGCAGATCCAACCAACTCACAGGAGTGCCTACTCACTTGCCTAGTCCTGTCACTTGGGACCCAAAATGTATGAATGACTGTGCCTGCCCTGCTCTTCCAATGGAAAGCAAAGGATTGTTTCAGGTGCTGAAACAAAATCTTAGCATATGCCCAGCCATGTACCCTGGAACTTTGCTTTAAAACACAGAACCATGTAACCTGTAACCCAATCTATGTTTAAGCTGTGTAGTTATTTTTGGAATAAAATCTTTGGTAATAACTGAGCCAAGATTCCAAGTACCATGTCCACAACTGGGAGCCAGGAAAATGATGATGATCATGATATTGTGGTTCCCCTTTTCCTTGGCTTGGACTCATGCTTGTCTCTGCATCATGAGCCCAAGCCAAGGCAAAGGGGAAGCACATTATCCCTACTCAATAGATGAGTGGGTCCCGACTGCAGTCTTAGAATCAAAGGTATAGAAGAAAGTAGGGAAAGAAGAAGGCAGGAGGAGGAAGAATGCAACTAATTGAGGGAACCCACTCACATGACACCTATCCTTATTATCTAATCAGTCCAGCCATTGGGCCTCGGTCCAGTATACCTAAAGGAGCATCTTCACCCCCATTGTTCTGCCCGGACACTGAGGTCCAGTGCCAAGGGCCTTCTGGCGGTTCCCTCCCTGCGAGAAGCTAAGTTACAGGGAACCAGGCAGAGGGCCTTCTCGGTAGTGGCACCCGTCCTGTGGAACACCCTCCCACCAGATGTCAAAGAGAAAAACAACTACCAGACTTTTAGAAGACATCTGAAGGCAGCCCTGTTTAGGGAAGCTTTTAATGTTTAATAAACTATTGTATTTTAATATTCTGTTGGAAGCTGCCCAATGCAGCTAGGGAAACCCAGCTGATGGGCGGGATATAAATAAATAAATTATTCTTCTTATTATTATTGGGTTATGAGGGAGAAATGCCCTTATTATTCATTTCTCCCCTTCCCTTCATATTGGCCTCATTTTTCCTCATGGTTACTGTGAAGAGCAGTGAGGATACCTGCTTGAAATGGGTTATGAATAATCCCTGAAATAAATAATCTTGGGAGGAAGGGGCTGACTCAAGGTTAGAGGAGGCTCTGGAGGCTCTTTAGTGGGTCTTCTCATTGGTCAGAGGGTGCTAGTGGGCCCACCTGGAGCTAGCCACCTTTTTAATTTCCCACAATGCACCAGAGTGTTGCTACACCCTAGGTTTTAGGAAAGCTTCCATCTTCATGAAGGGGAGATTTCAGTCCAGTGCAAATGGCAGGTGTGTGGGGCCCCAGACTGGACTGAAATTGCAGAGGAAGGGCAAAGGGTTTAAAACATCCTATATTTCTCATCAGGATCCTGAACTGGGATGGAGTGGGTGGAGCATGCCTGCTATTTACACTTTAAAAACCATTCATGCAACTGTTAATTTAATTTCTGATTTAGTGTACTTTGGCCTTGAAAGTAAGGCTACCGAATGCTTCCTTCCCTCTGCCAGCCCATAATGTGTTTTGCCTGTTTGTTTAAGTAAACCTCATAGCAAAGATGGGATGAGGATTAAGCCCAGGTGACCACTGATCTTTGCTCCTCTTAGGCTCAGTCATCATCACGACTATAATGATTTGTTCCACGAACAATGCAAAGCAAACTTCCCTTCTAAAAGATGTGCTGTCCCTTTACTTATTAAGCTTATTGTGGTACATTTAAACATGGAGGTTCCCTGAAGATATGACCATGCAATAATGCCCTCAACATCCTTTTTCCAAATAATTTTCTAATAAGGTAAAAAGTGAGCCAGGAGACACAGCAATCAGATGATTATATAACCCAATTTTTCTGGACCCTATCTCTTTGCCTAGTGATCTCTATTTCAGTCAACTGTTTTCTTCAAAGTGAGTCATTTTTATAGGCTCAGAATGCAGGATTAACATAATTATTGTTTGGGCAGATGGTATCAACAGAAGTAAGCACCTTTTGTCCCTTTGAAAAGCAGGAAACTGAGGATCTTATTCATAATCAAATGTGAAGTGCAGAAACCTTTAAGGATTGTGTGTAATTTCTCTTTTCATGAATAGTTATTTTACTTAACTGCAAAAAAAAAGAAAGAAGTTTATTTTCCTACCGGTTGATGGATGACCAACAATTTATGTTACTGTATTTCTTTACCTTGGCCTGTTGTAACAACTCCCTGTGGTAATAACACTGGATACTTTTTATGTTTATTTTCCCCCCTTTTGAAATGCAATGCTGCTAGATCTAGCAAAGTCTTATTGATTTTACATTTCAGTTAATAGCAATAGCTGAGTAGTCTATGCTTGACTGAGTATAAAATTCACAGCAAAATGAAAATCAAGGGTGTAATCTTAAACTCACTTCCCAAGGAGCAGAGGAGTCCTGTTGAACACAGTGGGGTGTACGTCTGAGTAAACAATATTAGGTTTGTACTGTATATATTGAGAACCCATTAAGCTAAGCTCATATCCTCATGCAAAGTGGGATTTCTTTACTAGAGCAGAGAAACTAGCAAATGCATGAGTTTAGAAATACAGGTAGCTGTATTATAATGACCAAGTGAGACCAATAGTTCATAAGGACGCTGCCCACTCTATACCTTTAAAACACATTTGAAGCATAATCTTTCAAAAGGATTATGGGCACTGTCGTTTGCTGGGAATTGTAACTCTGTCATACAATAGTGAGCAAGGATTGAGTCCACCAGGTTGGATGTTAAGCAAAGTAGTTGGTGGGGAAGGTGATTAAAAGTCTGGCTTGGTGTTGAGGCTATAATGTCTACATTGGTCAAATGTTCATTTTTGTTGTGTTGTTTTTGAAGCGGCATGATTATGGTAGTGAAGCTAGCTATGAAGGCTCTCATGAAGAATGCCTGCAACTTTACTACTGCACCACTGGTTCTTAGGCAACCAAAGAGCATCACTGTGCACATGTTACAGCAACATAAGAGGAGGTGATGAAGTGAGCTCAGGTTTCAACATAGTGCCTGCAGAGTGTCTAGTAGTGAACAGCACATGTCAACTCCATACAGTATTGAGGCATTTGCACAGGCTCACTTGCCACCATTTCCTGTCCCCACTGATGACAGTTCCAGGTAGGACTATAACCAGCAGTACCTGAAAATAGGCACACAAGCTCCCTCCTGCTTCAGTTAACTCTGAGCATGCACAGTGTAATTTTGCCTCACCACTGAGTCAGTGTGTGGTGTATGACATGTTTAGCTCATGCACTGACTCAGGCTGGATCTACATTGATCTATAAAAACGTTGTTGAAAATAATGTTATATATTGTTATATATCGCTCAATGCATTTTACCATTGCTGGGGACTCGCAGCTCTGCAGCACCCTCTCGTGCCAGATTTTTATAATGCATTTCTAATGTTATAACCGACCAGTGTAGATTAGTCCTCAGTGATAAATTGAAATCAACCTCCACACACTGGGAGCAGACAGGCTCTGCAGAAACCCTCAGAAATCTACACCTCATTTTGTGTGGAAAACCAAGTGTGGAATTTAACTAAGTTTTACTCAGAGTAGTTCTGTTGCAATTAATGGACACAACTTAGTCATGTTCATTAATTTCCATGGGTTTACTCTGAGTAAAGCTTAGTTGAATGCTGCCCCAAGAAACCAATTACTGGTGAAGACCAAATAAGTAGATATTTAAATTAATTTTGGCATTACAGCAAGTTTATGCTCAAGCAAACCAAACTGACTCAACTGTTATTGAAATGGGAGTGCTGTGCTAAGGGCAATATTCCATCTGCAGGAATTTTTCATATATTTGAAGAGTTTTGAAAGTGTAACTCTTTATAACAGAAGGTTTTTCTTTGCCATGCCCAAGGCAATACCATTGCTAGCCAAAAAAGTGGGGTTGGTTTTTTTCCTTCCAAAAAATCATTTTCGAGTTTCTCAACCCACTTAGCAAATGCCTCAGGATAACTAGCACAGCTGACTGGCTATAAAAATAATGGAGCAAGACTATAGACAATATGCTACAGAATAAAATTCCATGCCAATGAAGTGTTCAGTTTTGTAGATTATTGATAAAGTTATTTTTACTACGAAAAGAAGCATCCTATCCAAGAAATGATTTTTATGAGTTTACCAAGAAACAGAGGGATGTTCCAATTGGCAGATGCCTTCAACTTGACCATCATACTGAAAACATTTTTCTTAGGGATTTACAAACTTCAGGTCTGGGGCAGGAAATCTGTGGCCCTCCATTTGTTGTTGGACTCCAACTCCTATCAGCCCCAACCAGTACAGTCAATGGTCTGGGATGATGGGAGGTGGAGCCCAACAACATCTGGAAGACCACAGATTCCCTGCTCCATGGCCGGCATCTAAAGAACCCCACAACTAGCTTTGCACCTGCCTACAAGACAGTTTTGATACTTAGTTTCTGCAGTAGCAATTCCCTCCTAGGCCCAGTGCTACATAGATGTTGCAGTCAGCTGCTGACGTTTTCTTCCAGGTGTCTCCGCCATCTGAAATAAGGCAGGTGGAAACCAGGAGGGCATTTCCAGCGGTGGCTGGTGCCCATTGGGGCTGGGAGGGCAGAAGGCAGAGAGACAAACAGTAGGCAGAGCTCAGAGTCAATGACAGGGGGAGCCAACTAGTGTTGTCCCCATCCTCCTCCCTGCGGAGCTGTACAGTGTAAATGTTGAGACTAAGGGGAAGGGGGAAGTTGGCAGCCAGGGACAACCCCTGGGCTGATTGTAACTACGAAGGCAGGCAGCTGGCTGAGACCAGGCTGAGGATGGTGGTTCAGCGCTCCATTTGCCAGAATGGACCAGCCTTTACAAGGTAGGTTTACAGGAAGGCTTGCTAGGTGCTTATGCTGCTATCTTTTCAGCTTCAGGAAAACAGTTTATAAAAGCATTTTATGGTGAAGGAGGCAGGGGAGAGGAGTCTGAAGGCAGTTCAGCTGCTATATCGAGCTGACAGCCAAAAAAAAAAAAAAAAGTGAAGAGGGAGGAATGGTCTTGCATTCCTGTGTCTTTTTTATAATTATAATAATAATTATAATTTATTATTTATACCCCACCCATCTGGCTGGGTTTACCCAGCCACTCTGGGCAGCTTCCAACAGAATATTAAAACACAATAGTCTATTAAACATTAAAAGCTTCCCTAAACAGGGCTGCCCTCAGATGTCTTCTCAAAATCTGGTAGTTGTTTTTCTCTTTGACATCTGGTGGGAGGGCGTTCCACAGGGAGGGTGCCACTACCGAGAAGGCCCTCTGCCTGGTTCCCTGTAACCTGGCTTCTCGCAGGGAGGGAACCGCCAGAAGGCCCTTGGCACTGGACCTCAGTGTCTGGGCAGAACGCATTTTTTCCCTGGCTTTTCCCTCCCTGGTTTCAGGGTGTGCCAGGAGACTGGG